GATTGCATATATGTATGAGCTGCAAGCAGTTCATCAAGAATGATGATACTTTCACAAACCACCACATTTTATCATTGAAAGGTAAAAAAAAAAAAACAATCTGTCCACAGATGATTACACAGACTTAATATGGATTCATGGCCTGCGCTGGTGTCCAACTGGTACCTTTTTGGCTAAACAGAGGGAAGAATTATGGGAATTTAACCAAGGTCGATCATGCTATTCATAGGTTGACTGCTAATTGGCTGACTAGCTGGCTTGGAGATTGAGGGGAACAACAGTAGAGTTCTTGATGAACAAGAAGAAGGGCAAAAAAATGTAAATATAAAAAAATAAAAATCACAAGACCTCAGACAATGGCTTTTTTCGTTGTTTTTTCCTGTTTGATCATGACAGGGGTTAAAGCACAAACAATGGGACAAACAGCCCACATTACTGACTGCTCCATGTGTTTTTGGCACTGCCATCAGGTGACAGTACAGTTGCAGCACGTAGACGGGGTCCTGCACAGCTCTGTGTAGCTGCTCCAGCCTACCAACACTGCATCATGCCACGCGCTTTACAAGGTGAAAAAAAACACCAGGAGCACTGTTAACAAAGGTTTGTAGTTTCCGAGTGTAAAACAGTGTTTACTTACTTCGTTTGATTTTATTTTTTGAAATTATAAGAACCTTCAGTGCTTAGTACTATGTTGTGTTATGTTGGATATATTATGTGTCAGAATTGGGAGTTCTACAGCAAACTAAATTTAATTTGCAAAAAAGTAACTCTCTTAACTGATTACTAAATTCATTGATTTACAGGTTCTCCACTTGTTATGTGTCAGATTTGGAGTTCTACAGCAAACTAAAGTTTGCAAATAAAGTAAGTCTTAACTGATTACTAAATTCATTGATTTACAGGTTCTCCACGGTCTGGGACTTACAGTGCAATTCAAATATCCGGATATCTGTTGCAAGACTTCAGTTCAATGAACCAGTCACTGTTTACAAATGTAAATCCGTCTTTAAAAAAGGCTAATAGAAAGCTAAACCACTTTCAGACAAGCACGAGTGGGTTTGAGATTGCATTTCTATTCCCTTATTTAGTCTCTACGTGGACTACAAATGTATTTGGGGGAAAATAAATGGAAGAGTCAGGCTATTCATATGCAGTATCTATTTATATAGATTCATCTGTCTATGACTGTGGAACAAGAATAGGCTCACAGATTTTATTCTCTCTTTTTTTCTCTCTCACACACACACACACACACTCACACAGCGCACTGATCGATGCAGGGAGAGACCCCACAACTCTGGCTGCAGGACGGCTTCAGTCACCACTTGGCCACTCTGCTGTGAAATTACAGTGTGGGCATGTGGCAGGAGGTACGATGATGAGGCAATGCTGCACGATGAAGGAGATGATGAATTTCTGAGTGGGAGGTAATTATTCTCCCGCACTTGTCTTACCTTCTGGTACTCAGAGTCCTCTGGCCTGAAGTCGCTGCTCACTGTCTGAAACTCGATGTTGAAATGAGGCAACCGGTGGAGCAGATTCACCCACCAAGGTGGAGAATAATTCACCACGGCCGCCATCCTGATGCAGCTGCCTGCCGGCTCTCACTTCACTCTATAGCCCGATTCCTCACAGGGACACTGTAAAAGAAACAGCCAATCACTGCATCTGAGGAGGACACGAAGCAACTTTTAATGTCACCAAATGCATTAGATGAAGAGTAAGACACAGCATTCGCATGTTATCATAGGGCTAATGTGATGACCTAACAGTAATCAATACCCACTAACAGGGCGGGTCAAAAATGCCAATATAATGGATACCCTCTTTATTCATTAGTTATGCATATATTTTCACAATTTATTAATTTCAATAAGATTATAGCTGCTGAATCTTTCGTGATCATTTCCCCATTGGACCGATATAAAACACCCCTGCTGTAAAACACAGGGGTTACATGTTTCTGTGTGTTTTGTTACAAAGGCAAAAAGACTGCAATATGACATATGACTTTACTATTTGGGGGGTTGCCTTCCTTTACAGTGATGTATGTTTGGCTTATTGCCAGTACCACAATGCATTATAATAACTATATTATACTATATTACTACCGCACAACAATTATCACCAATAACCTATTAAATGTAATTAAATCCTGACAAGACATTCAGTAAGTGTACATTTCGCCCAAACGTTAAACCTGTACATGAATTATGGCATGACAAGAGCATCCATGACAGCGTCACCCAATTTACGCCCATACTGCAAAAACACAGGCTTCGTGAGATAAATGTGTCTTGAACGGGGGGGAATGGCCGTTGTACTGAATTTACTGTATGGGTACATGTAGGTCAGCCCCTTCGCGGGTACCCTCACACATTCAGCATTCAAGCCTTATTTATCTATCGCAGCGCTCAATAAAATGTTAGCAAACCCAGATTAGCTAGCTCTATCCCGCTTTGTCCATTAAATCTACCGCAGTACCACAGAGTCGTCAAGGCAACGAGAAGGGAGAAAAGGAAGAATTAATTTCGAGGTCTGCTTGCCTGTGGACATCCAAGTCCGTGTGCTGGGGTGGGTAGGAACCGTGTTATGACCTACCTAGTGAAGCCCA